ATCTCCTTTTTTTGTCTGTTGTAATGTTTATTTTGCAGTAAAAAGATTGAATTGATTGTACAGTAGCTAAGAATTACCTAAATAACCGCACTCCAGTTTCTCCACTTTATCGGTATAAATACCTCAAAGGGAATGGACAGATAGTGATAATAGCTAACATTTATTGATCGCTTATTATGTGCTAGGCACTGTCTTAAGCATTGAGTATACCAGGAATCTTCAAAAAGTTCATGGAAAGATTCATATTGTCTTTTACTACCATTTTTCACGGACTTTTTGAAGTACTGTCATGTATAATGTGTGTATATGAACTAATTGAATCCTCACAATGGCCTACCATATCCTAGCATGGGACAGGTTCATTCATGAAGAGTAATCTGCCTTACACCACCCATTTGCTAGGTGGCAGAGTGAACTCGCAGATTTTTAACTGCGAGTTATAAGCCATATTCTATTCATATTAGGCTTTTAATCAATATCATAGATTGAACCACTGTGCTTCCTGCATATATAATAATTTAGTTTTAAGGCATGTCTAAGAAATTTTTTTTTTTTTTCCTTTTTGTCTTTTTTTGTGACCGGCAACGGATCGCAACCCTCAGTGTCACGCCCGTACTGGACCGGGACTGGCAACGGGATCGCAACCCTCGGTGTTGCACCCGCACCTCGCTCAGCCAGTGAGCGGCCGGTCTGTATGTGGGATCCAAACCCTCGGCGGGAGCGTCGCTGCTCTCCCAAGCGGCACACTGTAGCAGTGTGCCACCGGGCCAGCCCTAAGAAATTCTTTTTGAAATGATTCCTGAAAATTCTATATAAAACTAAAGATTTAAAATGTCAAAAATAAGGGCCAGCCTGTGGCTCACTCAGGAGAGTGCGGTGATGAAAATACCAAGGCCATGGGTTCGGATCCTATATAGGGATGGCCGGTTGGCTCACTGGGTGAGCGTGGTGCTAAGAACACCAAGCCAAGGGTTGAGATCCCTTTATCGGTCACCTTTAAAAAAAAAAAAAAAAAGTCAAAAATAAGCATATCATTTGCAAAAGTATCTGCCATAAGAACTTTGTTATTATTTCTGGATAGGTAGTACTTGCACATGGTACAAAACCCAGAAGGGAATTCAGTGAAAAGACTTCTACTCCTGCCCACCCCAGACCCCTAATTATTCTATTTCCTCCTTTCTCACAGGCAGTTATGTTAACAACTGCGAAGGGCTGTTTTAAATATCTTTTTCTTAACACTTGATGCAAAGAACTAAGACCAATTAATTAGAAGCTTATTGTGCCATTGTGTTTTATATTTTTGTACTTTATCTACAAGTGTCCAAACCACCTGTGTCTCTGAAGGTAGTAAGCAGGTTCTGTGGATGGTATTTCCTGGTGAGGGTAATGAGGCTGTAGCCTTCGGCTGTTTGATGTGGTTCCTGGAAACTCCACCATTCTGCCTTGCCCAGGGCTTAGATCAGGCAGGGTCTTTGGACTTTTATCCAGTTGTTGTATAACTTTTATTCCTGATGAGAAGGAACCATTACTGGAACATAGTAGGTGCTCAATAAATGCTGAATTGAACAACTTCTGCAAGTCATGCCAAGCTCAGGGATATAGGGCTGGAAAATGTACTTTGGAGTATCTAAATGAGGTAACTGGTGGGGCCAGGGGAGGAATATTCAAGTTAAGCAAACCACCACAAAACTCTCATATAAGACTCTGGGTAGGAAGAGATTGGAAAGGACCTGCTGGATCCTCTAGTTTAGTAACCAGATAGTCTCAGATGGGGCTGAGAGGCAGGGAAGACTTCTGTTGAAATGTTGGCAAACAGGCCGGCCCGGTGGCGCACTGCTACAGTGCGCTGCTTGGGAAGTGCAGCGGCGCTCCCGCCGAGGGTTTGGATCCCACATACAGACCGGTTCCCGCTCACTGGCTGAGCGAGGGGCGGGGGCAGCACCGAGGGTTGCAATCCCGTGGCTGGTCCCGGTCCGGTGCGGGCGCTACACTGAGGGTTGCGATCCGTTGCCGGTCACGAAAAAAGACAAAAAGGAAAAAAAAAAAAAAAGAAATGTTGGCAAACAGTTGAAATAAGAACCTTGCCTTTTTATGGTTCTTTATTTTTTCAGATTGATTTTCAGCATAATTTAATTTGATCCTTGTGATAACCCTGTCATTATAACGTTAGATTGAGTCTCTAATCAGAGCTGTTTGTGTTTTCTTGCTGGCACTAGGGAATGTGTTATCAAGTGTCACTGATTACTTTAGTACCACAACATAACTGGTGATGTTATATTACTGGTGCACATTGATTCTTTTCTATATTCCTGAAAATTCTATATAAAACTAAGGATTTAAAGTGTCAAAAATAAGCATGTCATTTGCAAAAGTATTTGCTATAAAAATCTTTATAATCACCCCCTCCATTTGCTTGAATGCTGCCTTGGCATCTTTGAAGATAAATTTCTTCTCTTACACTTTTCAGAAATTCTCCATTTAACTTTAATGTGTGTTTGTTTATGAAAAGAGTTTCTGCATTAGGTTTTTTTAAATTGAAATTTATTTATTCTTACAGGCAATTTGAAAATTGCAAAGAGAGTTTTTAAGGCCACTTCAGACTTGCAAAGATTGTGTGTGATCTGAAGAACTCCAGGCTGAGGTGACTGGAAAAGACACACTGTTGGAGGAATAAAAATGACTTCCCATTATGTGATTGCCATGTTTGCCCTGATGAGCTCCTGTTTAGCTACTGCAGGTAAGTTGCATAATATAAATTGAATGTTTGTTGTATTCTTTTGTGTATATTTTTCCTCAGTCTCTCCAGTTTAGGAGAATTTAGGCCATGTGACATTCATGCAAAACTTGAATATTTATGTTTCTTAGGGAAGTAAACTATTTGATTACTATACAGGTGTATGTTTGCTGATGTTATATTTTACTGGCTGTTGGTAGGCATTCTAATGTCAGTGACGCAGATACCTAACTAACCTGTGTTGAGGCAGGTGGAGAACAAATATGTAATGATTACTCCCACTTAATTTTGTTACATGCATAGATTATATTTACATTCTTGACCTTAAATAAAATTTGAAGAAGGATTTAAAAAAAAAAAATAGACCTTTTAGATAGAGGTGGTAGTCCTGGCATGGGTTGCTCGGGAGGTATTTAATTTTGCCTATTTCAGGTATTTTAATATGTAACTTCTTAAAAAGTTCAGAAATAATTGTGCTTCCTGGAGCCCATCAGAGTATGAGGTTGGAGATGAGAAGAAGCAGATAACTTGGTCAGAATGCTGTTGCTTAAGTAAGTGTATTAGACCTCCCACGCCAAAAACACCTTAGTGTTCGCTGTCAAGGTTACTTAGTAAATTTGGAAGCTTAATTTGCTCTATTTTGTTATAATTTGCTTTGTGACTGTTCTATAATGAGCTACATAACACTAATTTGTTGGACCAGTTCTGGAAACTGGCGGGTTTCAGCCAGAAAAGCATTGACTTAAAAAATGATTAGCCTCGTGGTTTTGGCCATTGAATTGCACATATGGATGAGAGTGATAATAATTACCATTTATTGCACTACAGCCAGGCACTGGCTAAACAATTGTAGAATATATAAATGAATAAAGGATATTCTTATTCAATGAGCTCATTTAATCAGAACTCTGAGTTAGGTATAATTATTTTATTTATTTAATTATGTTTATAATTAAAATAATAATTTTATTTGTTTAATTATTTTATTTATTTAATTATTTTTGTTGTTGTTTTTGGCAGCTGGTCGGTTTGGGGATCTTAACCTGTGACCTTGGTGTTAAAGGCTGCACTCTAACCAACTGAGCTAACTGGCCAACCCTTATTTTTATCATTTTATAGATGATGAAATAAGATATGCAGAGATTAGGTAACTTGCACAATGTCATGAGGCTCGGATGTGGAGGAGCCAGATTTTACATCTATATTCTTAATCTCTGTATTATACTGAAGAAACCAGACCACCATTAAAGATCTAGGAGAATCAGAACAGAGGTCATATTGAGACACAGACTAAGTAAAAACCAGCTGACAGAGATTGGTTTATGAGATTGAAAAGCAGAATGTCTCATTGCAAATATCTTGAAAGAAAGTTGTTAGGTTTTTTTGTTTTTTGTTTTTTTTGAATGCCAGTGTGTGAATTTGAACTGCCCATTCTCTCTGTGTTACTGTCTGTCAGCAGTTTCATTTTTTCTCATTATTGAAGAGTTATTTGCCTTTTAGCCTGTGCATTTAAAACAGATCTTAATTAAAATCTCACTGAAAAGTAGTAGCAAAAAAATAAAAAAGACAGTAAGAGAAACGGCTTGAGAAATGGAAAATTTGCTCTTTTGATGACAAGATGTATAATGATACCTGGTGGGTTTGAGGCAGAGCTTCTGCTTTCACTGATGCCTGGGTCGGACGGAAAAACACGACTGAAGGAGGTACTTCATGGGAAAGCAGTGAGTTTAATGGCTCTGTGCAGCCTGGATGTTTTTGATAGCAAATCAGTTTTGCTTAAGACCCATCTCCCTTCTTTTAAGCCATTGGGAAATTATTTTTCTTTTTGAGTTGTAGACACACTCAAAGCTTTCTGTGTGAATCATACGATTATAGATTTTATAACAGCATGAGGTAACTGATAAATAGCACAGAGGTGGGGATGCCTTTTTTTTTTAAGATAACTGGTAAGAGGATCTTAACCCTTGGCTTGGTGTTGTCAGCACCACACTCTCCCGAGTGAGCTAACCGGCCATCCCTATATGGGATCCGAACCCCTA